GGGCCGGGGCCACTGCCCGTGGGCCACAGAGGGGTGAGCGTCTGTCCTCCGTCAGACGCCAGCTCAGGCCCACTCCTGGACAGCAGCCTCGAGCTTGGGCTCCAACTCTGAGAGGTGTCATGGGAGGTGCCATGGCCTTGCTCCCATGTAGCTCCGGAGGTGGGGGCAGTGGGTCATGTCCGGAAAGCTGAAGTGGGAGGCCGCAGGGCCTGTCTGAAGCGCCCAGACCCGTGACTGCCTCAGTAAGGAAACCAGCAGCAGCTGGCCGGGAAGCAAACACAGCACAGGCGGCCTTTGTTAGCTTGCATAGGGTGGGAGTGGAGACTATTGATTTCTGGTGGAACACACAGGAGGAGGCGGCACCATCCAGAGACCCGCTGTCAGTGGCCACCGGGTGCCCCAGGCTGCGCCTTCTGCCGGGAGCGCCTGTCTCTGGGCCTTGAACTCTCGGTCCCTGATGCTGCTCTGCTGGGGGCGGTGTTTTTCCTGGTGTGGCTGAGGCAGGGGTCCTTCATGCACGCTGGGGCCTCCTGCAAAGGGGTGGGTGGCTCAGGCAGCCTCAGGAGGCACACCAGGTCCGGCCTGAACTACCGGGAGCCTGGGGCACTGCCCCCACTGAATGGAGGAGACCCTAACCCCTCTCCTCTCACACCTCCCAGTGCAGGAGCAGGGTTCCTCCCATTTTTGGGTCCCACTTATTTGGGGGCCCCCTTGGGTGCATGTTTCATCTTAGGCTGGAAGGGGCTCATGGTCAAACAGAGATTTGACCATGTCACTCCCCAACTTAAAATCTACGAGTCACACTGACTGGGGGAATAGCTAAGATCCTTTATGTTAATATTCAAGCCATATTCTGGCTCTAGCCCCCGCCTCCAGACTCCTCTCTTGCTTATCCCTGTCCCTGAACCTGAACTTCCCCTTCCTCTGGCCCGCAGAACTGGCTCCCTCCTTGTAACTCTGCCTTTTAAAAAAATATATTTTATTGATTTTCCACAGAAAGGAAGGGAGATGGATAGAGAGCTAGAAACGTCAATGAGAGAGAAACGTCAACCCGCTGCCTTCTGCATACCCCCACTGAGATGTGCCTGCAATCAAGGTACATGCCCTTGACCGGGATCGAACCTGGGACCTTCCAGTCCGCAGACCGATGCTCTATCCACTGAGCCAAACTGGTTTTGGTGTAACTCTGCCTTTTGATGTCCCAGCTCCCTCGAGGCTGAGGGTGTCTTTGCTCTTTGCTCTGGCACAGGCCTGGGACTCACCAGCTCATAGCATGTGAGTCCAGAGGATGATTCTCTATGTGCACCATCTGGACAAATACACACACACACACACACACACACACACACACACACACACACCCGGGACTCAATAATGCTTGTGACAGCGACACCGATCGCTGGGGAATCCGAGAGGCTCCTTCCCACTCGGCTCCGGGCTAGAGGGTACATTTACTTTCTAATCAAATATTATTCTAATGCTCGAGGCATCCTTGGTGTTTGCAAGTCAGAAAAGTTTAATTACATGTGTCATTAGGATGGCATTCTGTAATGGCCCTGTGAGTGAATTCATTAACAGAATTCTTAACAGATAAGACAAGACAAATTAATATTTTGTTGCCCATGAAAGCGTCTCATTAAGAGAGCAGGGAAAAAGTGATTAATATTTTGTTGCCAATCAAGATGTCTCATCCGAGTGACAAAACAGGGAGGCCCGCCCCGCCCCGCGCCCGCTCCGCTCCGCCTTGGGTTTTGTAGGCCGATCGGCTTCCCGGTCTGTGCGGTGTTCTGTGCCAGGCGCGAATCACCACGTGGGGACAGTACTCCCTCTCTGACTGCGGCGGGCGGGGCGGGCACTGGCACGCTGTATGCCGAGAGTCTCTAGGAGCTGTTCAATCCCTGGTCTTTGCCCCGTCAGGGCTGCCCTTCTCGGCTGTTCTCCCCTGACCACTTCAAAAATACCCCTTGAATCTGGAGGATTTGGTTGTCTTCCCCTCTCTCCTCCCCCCTCACCCCCCCAGCTGATTTTTTCCCCAGGGCTGCTGTCCTCACTGTCCCCAGACGAGGACTGCTCCTATGAATGAACACCTGCTGTGTGGGCACCTGGCTAGTCATGTCACCATCTTCAGCCTCAGGGAGGACATCCTCATCCCCATGTCCCCAGAGGCTCAGAGAAGTCACACAGTTCACCCAACAGCTCTGGACCTGCAGGAGGGGGCTGGTCATTGTCCGTCTCCCTGCCTGAATCGAGACTGACATGGATGGTGTTGTCCCGTCCGGAGGACAGGCAGCAGGGGCAGCCCAGCGTCATAGCTGCCTGACTGCGGAGCCTCAAGGCTTCTGCTGGCTGCTTGCTGGGGACTCAGGATGCAAGGTGTTGTTTGGCAGCAGCAGCAGCAGTAATAATACTAATGATGATGAGGAGGATGAGGAAGAGGAGGAGGAGAGTGATAATAGCATGAAACACGTATGCCAAGAATGTCACATGGATCTTCTCATTTAATCTGCAACTATAACCCTATGAGGCAGTGACTATTATTCATACCCATTTCACAGAGGAAGAAACTGAGGCTTGAGGAGTCAAGTGGCCTTTCCAAGGTCACTCAACCAGTAAGTGGCAGAGCTGAGACTTAAACTCAGGAACCTTTGACACCCCCTGCCCCCCCCCCCCCCCCGAGTCTGTGCTCTCCCTCTTCTTCCTAAGGCAGGGGAGCCACACACACCTGCATGCACACATGTATATGTGTGAATAGGTGTGTGTATGTGTTGTGTGTGTGTTTATGTGTATGTATGTGTGTACTTGAGTTGTGTGTGTTTGTATGGTTGCATGCATCAGGCCCGAGGACCCCTGTGGGGCTGGGGCTGCCCTGCACCCTCACAGGGGGGTTTCTGAGAAGCTCAGAGCCCTGCCTGTGTGTGGGCTGCTGACTTGACCACGAGCAGCAAGTGCTTCCGGAGGTAATGAGAGGCCATTAATCTCCAGTTGCACCCACAATTACCCAAATTGCTAACCTCTCTGTGCAAAGTAAAAATGCAATTGAGTTGGTGCTGGAGGCATGTTTAAGGGAGGGAAACACACTCAAAGTAATTTAATTAACTGATGGCAAGTGCATTAAGAGGAGTTCTGCCTCAGCCTCTATTTCTGGTGCCTTTAAATAGAGCATCAAGCAAGGCCCGCGGACGCTCAGACAAACACAGGCAGACCTGCGCTGGTTCTGAACCAATCACTACAGGCCACACACGGCTGAAAGCTGATGCCCACCTTGACAGCTTCTGTACATACAAACGTGCACCCAACACACACACACACACACACACACACACACACACACACACACGCACGCACGCACCCAGGACACTACCCTCCCTTGCTAAGACCCCAGACACACTCTAGGTGTCTCAGGCTCAGAAGACTGCCCATCGCACCTGCCCGTCAAGCAGCCACGGGGTTTGTGCTGGCACTGACATTCAGATATGGGTAGAATCCAGCTTAACAGGAAATCACAAGGAAACGGACTTGCCCAGTGTGACGGGGGGGGGGGGGGGGGGGGGAGGGGGGGAGGGCACTCCTGCCAGCTCTGCCCAGCGTGGATCTCCAGGATGGCCCCTCTTTCTGCCTGCTTCCTGTACCATTTCCAGGATGCAGCAAGAATCCCAACTCTGGAGGATTCCTGCAGAATTCCATACGGGGCCCTCCCCATAAAGCAGACTGCAAGGTCGTGGGCTTAACTGCCCTCTTGTGGCCAGCGGCATTGCTAATCACACTCCTGGTTGCACGGCATGTTTCTAGGGCTGGGAGCTTACTGCCTCCTGTGAGGGCTCATTCCATCGACAGGCAGGACTGTGGCTGGAATGGGGTTCAGCTAAGGAGCTAAAATTGGCTTCTTTTTGGGGTGCACCTTGGCCCTTTGTGCTAGTCCACCTCTGGGGTCACATGGACCAGGCCGACTCCCTCTGCCCCAGCACCTTAGCACTGTTAGTGGGAACTGGCCACGCATCCCACAGGTCTCCCTTCTCTGGCCCAGGCATCCCATTCTGAGCCAGGTGACCTGTCCTGTGCTAAGACCAGGGCTGCCTCCTGTTTCTGCTGACCTGACAGCACCCTGCTTGGTGACATCATTCTGTCTTCTCACACGAACTTCTGGGAAACCATTTCACCCACTGAGCCAAACCGGGGCCAATAAATATTCTTGAACGAATCCCTGTATTTCTCAAGTCCAGCAGAAGGGAGGCACCACTAGGGTCACTTTTCTAATAAGTTAATTCATTGAGGATCAGCTGTTTAAGAAATTGCTTCAGTGCAGCAGGCAGTGTGGGTGACGCGGGGACCCCAGCCCAGGCTGCCTGGGCCCTCGGAGTGCAGAAGTTCTCCTGTTGGTCGCCTTGGGCTGTGTGAGCTCACGGCTCTCCCACTCAAGGCACCACAACCCCATTTCCCACTCCGAAAGCAAGGCCCCAGGCGGGCTCCTCTGGCTGGGCCCAATTCTCTTTCCCCTCATCCCCTGGTCTCCGCCCGCCAGCCAACCTAGCCCAGGAGCTCATCTCTGCCCTCCACAGGGAACCCCTCCTCCCATGTTCAGCTGCCTATATTCTGCCAGATATTCATCCTCCTCCACCGCCCAGGGGACCTCACCCAGATGTTCTCCCGAAGCCCTCCTAGCTGGCCATGTTCTCTGTTGCACTGTGCTCCCTCCCTCTGAGCGGTGGGCCCCCTCCTCTCACATCCCAACCCGACGCCCACCCCCTGGCCTTAGCTGCTTTGCCTGTAACAAGGACCTCCTGCCCTGCCCCCTTACTTCCCCGCTCCCCTTCTTCTGGGCCTGGCTGGCAGGCGTACAGCCACCAGGCGTCCTGCCTCTGCTCGTGGTGGGACTTGGATTTTCTGGTACCTCCAAGTGCCGGGCAACAGGCTGGGAGGTACCAAATGCTCTGCCACAGCCTTGCACAGGTTACCTCCCCGGGACGCACATTTGGGCTCCAAGCCAGAGCCTGGCCACTTACGTTGATGTCTTCCAAGTCCAGGAAGTTCAGGGCGAGCCCGTGGCGCTTCCAGACGATGGGCGGCCGCAGGTCCCCGCGGACGGCACACGTCAGCACGGTGCTCAGCCCCACGGTTACCGTGGCCACGCTGACCCTCTCCTCGGGGGCGAGGCTGAGCTGAACCACCTCTGTGGGGAGAAGAAGGCCGTCAGGTGCCGGGACTTCCTGCGGGGCAGGGGCAGAGGCTGCCTGAAGGCGGCGGGTATTTGTAAGCCACGTGCTGACAGGTGGATGTACCTCTTGGGAGAGGGGCAACACCTCAGGCCAGATAGTCAAAGGGTTCTGTGGGTCAAAACGGGCCAGAGGAGCCATCTGGGCTGTGGCTGGCGTGTGGGCTGCCAGCCCTGCGGGCCACCACACTGAGACCAGGACAGCCGTGCAGCGCCCTCCGTGAGCTCTCGGCCTCGGGCCTCACGAGGCCTGGGCCGGGCGGGGAGCAGTCAAGCTCTTCCTCTGGGGGCAGCATAAAGGTTGTGCTGTCTGCGGGCCGGGGAACGGACTGGCTGACCTTTGAAGGCTTGTTTCTGTCTGAGGGTTCTCTGAACTTGGATTTGAATTTCTGCTCAGCCACCATGCACAGTAGCCTTTAATTTGTTGAAGTGTACTTCAGGCTGCACAGATTATTAATCGTTGCCATTTCACACTTGATAACTGGCACGAAGGCTGGCCATTCTTTAGGCAAATGGGAAGAAGGGTCTAAAATACTTCCCTTGAACCACAGGCTTTCTGGAATTCTTGGGGTTTAGGAAAAAAGTAACCAGACTCAGATGTTCAAAAACCAAAATGGGATCAGGCTTGGAGGGAGAGTCACCAGCCCAATGGCTGGGCTGCCTCACCCAAATCTGCAAGTCAGGGGGCTTGGGGCAGAGACAACATGAGCGGAGGGAGGCAGCTGGTTCGGGGGGAAGTGGGGAGGGGGCTGTGCTTATTCCGGGATAACAGCAACAATGCTCGGAGCTCTGTTTATTCTGACGGAGACTCTGTCAGGGCCTGGGGGTGGCTGACAGGTGTGGAGCGAGGCAGAGCGCAGGGGATGGAGCTGTGTGACTCTGTGGGGCCCTTTTGAGCTGAGATCAGGCAGAACATCTGTGCTCACACGCTCCCGCCAGCGTGTGTGGGAGAGGGGAGGGGAAGGGGAGCCAAAACAGCCCCAGGCGTGAAGCCACAGGCGCGATGCCGGCAAAGCAGGGGCAGCCAGGTGGGAACCCGGGGAACAGAGCCCTGTCCCCCCACAGCCATCCAGTGGCCCCGCCTTGGGCCCACAGAGAGGAACACGGTATATACTAGTACCCGGTGCTCAATTGGCGCTTGTTGGGCGGATGGATGCAAAATGGAGAAAATGGAAATGAAGGAGGAAAGGAGCCCACAGGCCAGAGGAGAGGGGACAACCACACGCGGGACAAATGCGGCTCCCGGTGACGGAGCCGCAGGAGGGGAGATAAGCAGCCGGTGATTGATGCAGATGCAACCCGCGCAGTATTTCACCCACGAAGGTGCATCTCACACTCCCTCCTCAATCACGTTCCGTGTGCCGCCCTCCCTGCTGCGGAGTCAGGAGGCTCATTTCTCAGGGCAGAGAAGGTGCTAGCCCACCGCATCTCCACCGGCTTTGGAGATAGAGGGCAGAGAGAGGAGAGATAAGGAAAATTTGCTAAAATCGTCTCGCTTCTCCTGTGCTGTGCTGGCCCTCAGGGCTCAGAACCCAGATTCTCCCAGGTATAGACAAGCTACCTCTTCCTCATGGGATTCCTTGCCTGGTGTGGCCCGTGGTTGAGTGCCCACAAGGTCAGGGCACATGCCCAGGTTGCAGGTTCAGCCCCTGGTAGGGAGCATGCAGGAGGCAGCTGATTCTTTTATTATTGATGTTTCTACCTCTCTCTCCCTTTCTTTTCCTCTCTGAAATCAATAAAAGTATATAACCCGCCCCCCTCCTCCCCCAAACCCATGAGGCCCTGTGCTCGATGGAAGAAGTAAGCAGGTGTGGACTATTCCATCCTCGTCCCGGGGCATTGTGGGAATGACAAGGGAGACAGTGGGAAGAGCAAAGAGTGTGCCTGCTAGTGCGCAGGTGAGGGGACAAAGTGGGGGGCCCTAGGAGGAGGCTGAACTGTCTCCAACTGCCTGCTCCCTCCCCACCTGGGGTGATTACACACGGTGTGAGGGAGCCAGGGCAGGGGATTATCAACCAGAGCCCCCTGGGCCCTGAGTGGCCTGGAGAGACCCAGAGGTCCTTGGCTGTGCACTGGCTGGCTGTGAGGTGCTCTGTACCCCTGTGTCTGAGGGCTGCATTGGATGGCCAGATCTGGGCCCAAAGGCAATGACCTCCTGACCTTGAGGGCTGAATAGTGCCCGCGGGGGCTGTGGGAGGCTGGACCAAGGGAACCTCAGACTCCAGAATCCATCAGGCTGAGAGAGCCTAGACCAGGAGCTCAGCAGGGCTGACCTCTGACAGGATAATTGGGAGTTTGGGGGTGGGGGTGTGTGTGGGGGGGGTGAGGTCCCGGCAGCAGAAACTGGAGGTGGTGGGAATGACAGGCTGCTTAAATCCACACTCAGATACCAGACAGAGGAGCAGCTGGGCACGTGGGGTGGGGTGGGGAATTGGAAACACGAAGCATTTTTCTTAGGTAGAGCATTACTTATGGGGACTGCAAAAACGATCATCAGCCTGGACTCAGCTTTATAATGGATTGAATATTTAGGTGCATTTTTCTCCCAGTGGCTGGTGAATGGGGCTTGTGAAGAAGTCAGGTATGTTATCACTTATATGGCCAATTAATCTATGAGAAAAGAGACAAGAATATACAATGAGGAAAAGACAGTCTCAAGAAATGATGTTGAGAAAACTGGAGAGATAATGTAAAAAACAAACAAGAAAACTAGACTGCTTTCTCACACTATAGACAAGAAAAAAATCAAAATATAAGACCCTAACCATAAAATTCTTAGAAGAAAACATAGGCAGTAACTCTGACATTTCTCTTAGTAATATATTTTTTGGATATATCTCCTTGGGTAAGGGAAACAAACAAACAAAAATAAACAAATGGGATTATATAAAATTAAACAGCATTTGCAAAGTTAAGGAACCATCAATAAAACAAAAAGACAACCTATTGAATAGCAGAAGACAGTCACCAATGATGCATCCATTAAAGAGTTAATATCCAAAATATATGAGGAATTCATAAAACTTAATACCAAAAACAACAACAACAACAACACACACACAAACAAGCAACCTCGTTAAAAAACGGGCCGAAGACTGAATAGACACTTCTCCAGAGAGGACGTGCAGATGGCCTAAGACATGTGAAAGGATGCTCAGCATCACTGATCATCAGGGAGATTCAAATTAAAACCACAATGAGATGTCACCTCGCACCTGTCAGAACGGCTGTCACCAATAAATCAACAAACAGCAAGTGCTGGCAAGGATGTGGAGAAAAGGGAACCCTGTGTACTGTTGGTGGAAATGCAGACTGGTGCAGCCATTATGGAAAACATACGTAGATTCCTCAAAAAAATTAAAAACAGAGCTATTCTATGATCTAGCAATTTCATTCTGGATACTTATTTAAAAAAAACAAAAAAAACACCACACAAACAAACTCAAAATTCTAATTAAAAAAGATATATGCGCCCCTTCATTCATGCACTGATGCACCAGGGCTCCATGGTACTCTGAGGCTGAGAACCCTTGCCTTAGAACAGTGTTTCCCAAACTTTTGACATATGTGTACCCCTTCTATAATTTTCGTAACGCTGAGTACCCCTCATACTCATGAGAATATAGAATTAGGTGCAGCTAAGCACGGTGCAGTGCATATCCCCACCAAACTCCGGTGCAATGCGTACCCCCACCAAAATCTTCCCGTACCCCTGGGGGTATGTGTACCACACTTTGGGAAACACTGCCTTAGAAGATGGGGGTGTCTGCATAGATGGAAAGGGAGTGCAGGTGGATTTGGAAAGGGGAGGTAGACTGGCTGGTTGGGGGTCAGAGGGCCCTACTTACCAGGCTCAGAGCACCACCCTCATTTGGAATGTAACACTTATGTGCAACACGGAGGCTTTCCTCCACGTGGCCCCAAGGCAATATGTTTCAAAAAGTTTTAAAAAATGTGCTATAGGAGGAGCCTATAGCACAGGGCTAAAAACAACCAACCAACCAAAACACCCCGGGAGGGAAGTGTGTGCATCTAGGCCTCTGTCCTGGGACAGCCGGCTCCAGCGACCTTGCTGAGCACACCCACGCGCCATCTGTATGTGTGAGGACACGCACTTTGCACAGAAAAGACTCGCAAAATTAGAATGGTGCATACTGACAGACCATCACAATTCTGCTGTCAGCTACACAAACATTAACCCAAGTGCAAATATTTGGATCATTTAAAGTTTAATTAAATGTTGTTTTATTGAATTTAGCTCATGCTAATATTCTCCAGCTCTGCGTAAAATTCTGAAGAGATTTTTGGCAACCGAACCTTTCCTCACTCCCATTACTTGCTGTTCGGCACACCTTCCTCTGGCAGCCCCGCTTTCCTGCTAAGTGACCCTCCTGCAGAATGTGGCTATGGAAGAGGCTGATGTCCTTGGAAAGAAGGGAGCTTGTCCAGGCCTGTTGGGCAGAGATGCCCCCAGGTGACAATGGCCCTGTGATAAGAATTGGAAAGCTGCCTGGCGAGAACGGAATTTGGGGAGGGCAAGGGAGTTAGGGGGACTCACAACTTGCGACTCCTACCTCCCTGTGCACCTGGCCTTCTGACATCAGTGGGCTTCCCCTTGCTTCCCCCTGGGATTAAGAGGACAGGTTGCATGGCCATGATTGTTGAAGTCAACACAGGTTGGTTGGCATAAGACAGATCTTCTTGGTCCACTAAGTAGGCTGCGTGTCCAGCAGTGGGATCCCAGGCAGGGCTGTTTGGGGCTCTGGTGCCTAGCACGGTGCCTGGCACACAATCGGTGGCTTAAGGCCAAGTTGGCTGATAGCTGTCTCCTGAGAGACACCTACCTTCAAACCAGAGCAGCAACACCCTTGGTTTTCCAGACACAAGGTTGTGCAAACACCAGCTCTCAGCCTGCTCCCTGCACGCCTGCTCTCCCTGCTCCTGGAGCTTGGAGAGAA